CTGCAAGTTGCCCCTGACATTTTTGGCGCGATCTGCTTTGATCTGCGTGATGTGATCCATTTTCTCCTTGATAAGCTGCTGGCGCTCCTCGGTGCTCGAGGCCTTGGACTTCGCCTCGTCCAAGGCAGCACGCACTTTGCACCTCTTCCCTTGCCCTGAATTGCGAAACTTCAGCACATTCTTCCAAGATGAATTCCAGACGCTGTACAGGGTGGCCTTGGAAACTTTGTCAACCTTGGCAACGCTAACTTCGTACATCTCCCAGATGTTCTGGAACTTCCCTGGGTTGAGGTAGCGCCTGGGGGCATACCTCTTTGTAGGGTCACCGTCTGGCAAGGCCACCGACAAGCTCCACAAGGGATGACTTGGCGTCTCGATTATTTCATGGAGCTCGTCCACGGAGACCTCCTCAGATGCATCTTCCATAGGGTATGGTTCTCCAAGGTCTTGGTACAACTGCAAGAACCAACTATCAGCCTTCGAACTCTGACATGTCACCCTGGGCGGTGGCATCCTGGGAAGAGCCTCGGGGGGCTTCGTTCCCCCTGCAATGATGCGTTTCCGGAATGTGTCGATGGTCTTGGGGGAGGTGAGGTGGGCGTGGGCCCAGAAATTCCTGCAAATGACCTTGCTTTTGAACGTCCACTTGTGGCGCCCCCCCGACATGTTCCCCTGGTCGTCAGTCACCTGAATCTTGATGCACTGGTAGAGCTGCTCTGAGCGGACCTGCTTCTCCATATCTGTCCAGTGCATGCGGGAGTTCTGGACCTGGGGCGCCACTGAAGTCTAGCTCAGAGGCCAATCATATTTGAACCTTTTCGGGCAAACGAGGAAGGTCCATGCTTAGCAATCCAGATCCCCAAAGAAGAACCCTTGATGCTCAAGATTCCAAGCCCTGGCGAATAACTCCCCAGGGTCCAAACATGGATCCAGAAGCGTGGGAAACACAAGGCGCGCTCAGAGGCCAAGAGATCAATCGTTGACCCTGTATTAAGGAATGCTGACCAGAAGCAGAAACCATAGGAAAGCCAAATATTGGGGTGCGATTGCTTTTCAAAACATTCCATTACCACAGGTCCATGGGGTGACCATCTGACCATGTGCAGGCATGAGTCGGGCAGAGTACAGGGGGCTCATGGGGGGGGGGGCCGTCGCAGCCCTTGTCTAAGTAACCCGAGGACACTCGCAAACTCGAACTTCTTGTAGCACTCATTCTTGCACTTGCACAGGAACATGCCAGGCTCAGGTTCCTCGTCGCACGGCTGGCACTCCACCCCCATGTCACTCTCTGCCACGCTGCCCGGAAGAGACAAGGTTTCAGCGTCCACCGGGTCACCTGCATGCGCAGCACCACCAGCTTCGCTTTCAACTACAGAAGGGGGGATGTCTGGCTGACTACCATCCTGGAAATTGTCTGACATGGCAGCGCGCTGCCAAGAAACTCCGAGCTCACAAACTTCAGACACCTTTGACCATACAAATGGCTCTGGACAACTGATGGGGCTGTTCCCAATATTCTGGCAAGCTGATCAGGGGCCCACCTGCAGGTTTTCAGAACTGAGACCCCCCCCAAACGAAATCAACAACAGCAACGCACTGAACAAACTTCCTACCGTTCTAATCTCAGCACGAAGTATCAACTAAAAGGGGGTCGCAAACTGAGCCATCACGGCTGGCTATACTTCTAATCTGTTGAACGACAGGAGCCATGAAACTACATCGGTGCAAATATAAGCTGGTTGCGAGGGCTAGAGAAGCCCAATGTCCATATCAAAAGAAATGTACTGTCTGCCAACGCGTTGACAACATGCCGCATCTTCGTTTATGCAAGTCCCAGACTCGCCCACAAGGTTGATCACACAGACATGTCACGATAAAATTCTAGGCGCTTCGCGTATCCCACCAGCCCGTCCAGAAATGAGTCCCAGGGAAGTGGAGGTTATGAGGGACGCGGGGGAGCATGCAGAAGAACAAAGGGCAGGGTGAGCCACCATATACCACAAGAGGGCGAGGATGTAGGAGGAGCCGTCGTCGTCGGAGTAGGAGGAGGAAGAGGAGGAGCAGGAGGAGGAGCAGGAGCAGGAGGGGGAGGAGGAGGAACATGAGGAGGAGGAGATGGAGGACTGCGAGGACGAGGAGGACAAGTTGGAGGAAAAGGATAACGAGGAGGAGGAGGAGGAGGGGGAGGGGGAGGAGGGAGGAGGAAGAAAAAGAGAAGGAGGAGGAGGACAATGGCGAGCTTGGGGGCCTCTTGGGCCGTCTTTGGGGCCTCTTGGCGGTCCCGGCGGCCTCTTGCGTATATCGGGGAGTTTCTTGTGGCCTTTTGGGGGTCTCTTGGGGGCCTCTTGGAGGCATCTTGGGGGCCTCTTGGGGCCTCTTGGGGCCGTCTTGGGGTGCTCTTGGGGCGCTCTTGGGAGCCTTCAGGGCGCTCTTGGGGCCATCTTGGAGGAGATCTATCAAAGAAGGGGGGGTCGTATATTAGCGCTGCCCGTCTAGAGTGTCTCGAATCGCCTCTTGGGCCCTTCTTGAGTCCAAAATCCTTCCAAAACCTAAGGGAAGTCAATGTTTTGTGATTGTTCGCTGTTTCGCTCTTGGAGCCGTCTTGGGCCATCTTGGGGGCCTCTTGGGGCCTGTTGGGGGTCTCTTGGGCGCTTCTTGAAGGCCTCATGGGGGCCTTTTGGGGCCTCTTGGAGCCCTCTTGGGGCGCTCTTGGGGCGCTTTGGTGAGCCTCCGAGGCGCTCATGGGGCCATCTTTGGAGGAGATCTATCAAAGAAGGGGGGTCGTATATTAGCGCTGCCCCTCTAGAGTGCCTCGAATCGCCTCTTGGCCCCCCCCAAGAAGCCCAAATCCTTCCAAAACCTAAGGAAAACAATGCTGTGTGCTTTTTCGCTTGTTCGCTCTTGGAGCCGTCTTGGGCCGTCTTGGGAGCCTCTTGGGGCCTCTTGGGGGTTTCTTGGGAGCTTCTTGAAGGCCTCTTGGGGGCCTCTTGGGGCCTCTTGGGGCCCTCTTGGGGCGTTCTTGGGATCCTTCGGGGCGCTCTTGGGGCCATCTTGGAGGAGATCTATCACAGAAGGGGGGGTCGTATATTAGCCTTGCCCCTCTAGAGTGCCTCGAATCGCCTCTTGGGTTCCCCCAAGAAGCCACACTCTTTCCAACACCTAAGGTAAATCTTTTTTTTTCGGGTTTTCGCTGCTTCGCTCTTGGAGCCGTCTTGGGCCACCTTGGACGTCCCAACGACCCGCAGAACCCCTCGTCCAGGTCAATGGGGGAAGGGGGGAGGGGAGGGGTAAACCCCTCCCCGAAGGGAAAGAAGGGGGTTGACAGAGAAAACGCTTTAGACCACCTACGCCCCAAAGGACTGGTGGGATGGTTGACGCTTCGCGAACCCCCACCAGCCCATCCAGAAACGATGCCAAGCGGAATTGCCTGGATCAGGGAAGTAGGCAGCACACAGAGGAAGCCATTATGAGACATCTTGGGATATGGTGAGCCATCTTGGAGGTCATCTTGGGCTGTCCCAGGCGCTCTTCGAGTCATCTTAATCAGTGCTCCCCAAGAGGCCAGCATGTGGCTAAAACCGTTTGTGAAGTCAATGATTTGGCATTCTCGCCGAGGCCTCTTGGAGCATCTTGGGTGCCTCTGGGGGGTCTCTTGGGGCCTCTTGGGGGTCTCTTGGGGGCCTCCTGGGGGCCTCTTGGGGGCCTCTTGGGGCCATCTTGGGGCCATCCTGGGACCTCTTGGGGCCTCCTGGGCGCTTCTTGGGGTCACCTTGGAGGAGATTGATCAAGCAAGAGGGGGGCATTAATTAGCGCCCCCCCCCCCAGGAGGCCAACATGGGGCCAAAACCCTAGTGCAACCAATGAGTTTGGCTTCCTCGCCGAGTCCGTTTTGGCATTCTGGCCGAGATCTTGGGTGCCTCTGGGAGGTCTCTTGGGGCCTCTTGGGGGTCTCTTGGGGGCCTCCTGGGGGCCTCTTGGGGGCCTCTTGGTACCTCTTGGGGCCTCCTGGGCGCTTCTTGGGGCCATCTTGGAGGAGATCGAGAGCATTAATTAGCGTTTCCCCCCCCCGGAGGTCAAAATGGGGCCAACACCCTAGTACAACCAATGATTTTGGCTTCCTCGCCAAGGCCGTTTTGGCATTCCCGCCGAGGCCTCTTGGAGCATCTTGGGTGCCTCTGGGGGGTCTCTTGGGGCCTCTTGGGGGTCTCTTGGGGGCCTCCTGGTGGCCTCTGAGGGGCCTCTTGGGGCCATCTTGGGGCCATCCTGGGACCTCTTGGGGCCATCTTGGAGGAGATCGATCAAACGAGAGGGGAGGATTAATTTTGCATCCCCCCCCAGGAGGCCCAAACTGGGCCAACACCCTAATACAATCAATGATTTTGGTTTCCTCGCCGAGGCCGTTTTGGTATTCTCGCCGAGGCCTTTTGGAGCATCTTGGGTGCCTCTTGGGGGTCTCTTGGGGGCCTCTTTGGGGTCTCTTAGGGGCCTCCTGGGGGCCTCTTGGGGGCCTCTTGGGACCATCTTGGGGCCATCTTGGGACCTCTTGGGGCCTCTTGGGCGCTTCTTGGCAGGCACGCAAGCTTTTTTTTTATTGGTTGCCTAATACCCAGAGCGCTTGTGCTCCAGAGCACACTGGGCGAGCTTCTGTACAAAGCCATCCGGGTACCTCTGAGCCCACACAGACCTCTTAACGCCGGCTTCTGCCCCCTCGATCCTCTGGCGCTCATGCGAGCGATCGCAGCGGCACCCACTAAAAGCAGCAACAATAAATCTGCTGTTGGTTAACAGGGTTGTCCTTTTGCGCATTGGCATGCCTGAACCCTTCGAGCGAAGGCCCAGCATGCATTGGTCTAAGGTGACCTTCTGAACTCCAGGCATGCCCTCTACATCCTTTACGCACTGCTGGCTCCAACTGGAGGCGCTTGCAGGGTGCTCGAAACAAAAAATCCGACCTGCAATCACTTGGGCTTTCGCGCACTCCATGGAGTGCTCTAAGAAGGTCATGCCTTGTTGCCACCTCAAAGCGAATGTCTGTCTGCTCATGTACTTGTAATTCCACAGAGACTGCAGCACAGAGAAAATGGTGCATGGCGGTGAAAGCATCAAAAACATAATGAGCCTAGTAAGTCTGTATGACACCTCTCCCTCACAGAGGCGATTTCGAAGTCCCATCCATTTACAATGTCCAATGATAGCACACCTCCAAGCCCCCTGGCCCTAACGGCTGGGAGAACTCGAGGGGGCGAATCAAATTCAGCGAAGTCTTGCGATGAAGTCAAGTGGGCTGCTACAGTCGGCAGTGGGACAACCAGAACATATTGTTCGTCGATCGCGAGGTGCAACAAATCAACTCCCTCTTCCACATCATCAACAAACTCGGGGTCCTCATCCAATGCGCTCACATGTTCATCATCAGCAGTTGGAAGCTCAGCGCAATCACCCGAATCACATGAATCGTCAATTGACATGTTAGGGCCAGGCGAACAACTCCCAGCATCAGAACCGCCAGCCATCACATCGCTTCCCAGACGAATCTCGTCAAGCGCAGAGTGCACACTTACATCCGAAGACTCCACTGCTGTGGGGAGCTCCTCCTCAGAGGCACTGGGTGGAAGGGACACAGACAAAGACATGCTGCAAGCTGGAATGAAGCTTGAGCAATATGGATTGGCCACGCAAATGCTAGATCTGGCACAAAAAACTTGCGCAACACACATCGACACGCAAAAACACGCATGCTCCCCACTCGCGAACACTGCGCTATAAGCGTATCCATCGGAGGTTGGGGGGGTCAGATCGAAGTGGAACGGAGAGCACCCTACCAGGAAATCAGTTTTGGCTTCGGCTCGTGTCGTGCGCGCGGGCGAGTCGAAGCTGCGCGAGTTCTATCCCTTGTAGGGTCATCTATGGCCTTTTGGGCTACCGCCCCCCCCTGGCGTGGCTCCCGGTTGTCTCGCCGTTGTCCCGCTTCTGTCCTGCGGTTGTCCCGCGGTTGTCCCACGGTTGTCTTGATGGTTGTCCCGATGGTTGTTGTCCCGATGGTTGTCCCGATGGTTGTCCCGATGGTTGTCCCGATGGTTGTCCCGATGGTTGTTCGATGGTTGTCCCGATGGTTGTCCCGATGGTTGCCCCGATGTTGTCCCGATGGTTGCCCCGATGGTTGTCCTGATGGTTGTCCCGATGGTTGTCCCGATGGTTGTCCCAACGGTTGTCCCGATGGTTGTCCCGATTGTTGTCCCGATGGTTGCCCTGATGGTTGTCCTGACGGTTGTCCCGATGGTGTTCCCGATGGTTGTCCCGATGGTTGTCCCGATGGTTTTTCCGACGGTTTTTCCGATGGATGTGGCGATGGCTGTCCCGATGGTTGCCCCGTTGGTTGTTCGATGGTTGTCTTGATGGTTTTCCCGATGGTTGTCCCGAC